AAACATTAATCTTTTGGCAAATACCAATAAGATGCCATTACACACTTAGGAGAAAGACTAAACTGAAAACTCTGCCAGTAGCAAGTATTGGCAGGATCAGAAGATGTGGGATGAGGGGTAGGGTCTGGGGAGATATGCTAAGTTACAGCCTCCTTGAAACACACTGGAAGTTTTCCTTAAAATGTTAAACCTACTTTTACAGTATGACCCAGCCATTGGATTTGTATGTGCTTAACCAAAGACAAGTGAAAGCATATGGCATACCATGACTAATATATAAATTAATGTTCATTGTCATTGATTTATAATTACCAAACAACACAATGCCCATAGCTAGGTAATGGGTAAACATTTTATCACAATTTTAGCCATAAAATAGAATATTACTCAGAAATAAAAGTGAGGTATTGAGATATACTACAACATAAATGAATCTTACCATCATTGTATTGTGTATATTAAAGCAAACAAAAATGCATGTTGTTTGACTTTCTACATGATTGAAATAGTATATATTTATGACTAAAACAGGACAAGAAGGAAAAAAATAACTGAATATATAAAATCCTGAAAAGTCTAATAATAAAATAGACATTAGAGTCCAGGAGATAAAGCAAAGGGTTTTGATTTATCACACATGCCTGCTATGTGTGAGGTCCTGAAGTCAATCTTCTGGACCACATGGTCCCCAAATGTGCCCTGGCAGCCTTCAGCACCTCTGGGCCCCAGTCCCCTGAGCCCCTAGGCCCCTGGGCCCCTGGACCCCTGGACCCCTGCACCATTATGTTGCTGGGTCTAATTATCAGGGCTTCTCGTGTAGTTGGCCAGGTGTCACTAGGAGTAACCCCCCCACCCCAGCCTCCTTATGCATCACTTTGGAAGTTTGTCTCCCCCCAAAAAGGAAAAATAATGATTATTCATTTATTTATCTTGAAGTGTCATAGTTTACAGTAGTACTAAGGTCATTATTTTCTAGTTGTAGAGAATCAAACTCACATCCTTATGCTTGCAAGGCAGGCACCTTTAACTGCTGGGCCAACCAGCAAGCTACTGAGAGTATCTCGCCTACACGGCAAAGCCTGGCAAGCTACCCATGATGTGCCAAACACAGTAACAACAAGTCTCACAATGGTGACATTAGTGGGCCTGCTCGAGCAAATCGATGAGCAACGGGAGGACAGTGACAGTGACAGTAGAGAATAAATCCCTCCAGCAGTGTTTCAGGATCCCTCTGCCATTATCCTTCAGTCCCTTCCCCTGCCCCACCCCTCACTTTCCAGTTCTGTTGATCATTGTCTCAGGATTTGTTTGTATGGATTAATTGGTTGCATAACCCTTTTCTTAATCATCCTCCACTATGAGCAAGTTTCTTTGGTATTTATTTTTTCACTTTCTGACTCACTTCTCTTAGTATACTACTCTCCAACTCCACTGAAGTTGCAAAAAACTGAAAAAAAATCATCTTTTCTCATAGCTGAAAAATGTGTCTTTGTGTACGTAAGCCACAATCTCTTTATCCATCCACTTGTTCTTAGGTTCTTGGGTTGGTTGTTTCACATCTTGACTATTGTAAATAGTGCTTCCATGAGCACAGGTGTACCTATGTCTTTTTGGATTCGTGTTTTTTTGTGTTCTTGAGTAGAGTCCCAAATGTGGAATCATAGGGTTGTTATGGAAGTTTAATTTGTAATGTTTTGAGGAGTCTCTAAACTGTTTCCAGAGATACTGAACCATGTATCCCACCAACACGGAGAGTTACTTTCTACCGCATTCTTGCCAGTATTTAATGTTTCCGATCTTTTTCATATAGACCATTTTTTCTGGGGTGAGATGGTCTCTCATTTTGATATGCATTTTCCTGATAATCAGTGATAGTGAATTTTTTTTTCATGTTGCTATGACCTTTTTAATGTCTTTTTTTTGTGGAGATGTCTGTTAATCTCCTTTTCCCATGTTGGGATGGGCTTGTGTTTTGTTGTTGTTGAGCTCTGAGGGTGCTTTATATATAATTAATGGATATTAGTTCAATGTCTGATGTCTGGTGTGCGAATATGTTCCCCTATGATTGATACATTTAAGATAAACAAATACTTGATTGAATCAGTGAAGAAACAAGATGCAAGAGGAACATATTAGAATATATTTCACCTCTTAATGATTTAGTATCAAAATAGATCTAGACTTTCATCAGGGGCAGGGATATGGCTCAAGAAGCTGATCACGTGCCTTGCATAAGGAAACCATGGGTCTCATCCCTGGGTTGAGATATAGTCGCCTCTGAGCATAGCCAGTTGTGGCTCTGGTGGTCTCGGAACACCATGAAGCATTGCACTAACAGTACAATACTTAAGTTTACATTTAAACTATGCAAATGGTATGTGTGCTAATGTATATGTATTGTATGTACATACATGTATGTGGAAAGACTTTGATTGTGAAAGCAGCCCCGATAATATTTGAAAGGAAGCAGTATTTGCAAACTATAAATGCTCCGTACCTTCTACACCCTCCCTCATAAGACAGCTTAAAGAGCCTGATAAATGAACTCTGTCATTGGTTGGTGCTATCCTTAACTTACAAAAAAGCAGATCGCCTCTGTGACAAATACCAAACATACAGACAGTATTTTCCTTGAGTGTACTGGCACATTTAAGTAATCATTACCCTGTCCTTGAGTATTTATATGTGAGCTACTTAGCAATCAAAATTCTTCCCTCAATAATATCATAAATTGTATTTCCTTCAACTTTGAAATCCATTGGAAAAGTACATTCCCCTGATTGTATAATTTCTTTTGTGTCCAGTCTGCTGGGATGTTGTCAGATAATTGTAGTTTCCATCTAAATTGGGACTCAAGAGAGACTTAGAGTTACTGGTTCTAAAGTTTTATGACATAAGGATTTAGATGGATAATTAGGGTGAATTCACTAAATAGGACCACATATAAAAATAGTCTTCTGCCTAATAATCCAAGGAGAAAGATGAACTACCATTCTTAGAAAAAAAGATTCTCTCTTGTCCGAGAGGGCATTCAAGCAAACAAATAAATGTGTCAGCTGTTTATAAGAGGAGGGCATCCCTAGAACAATGTCATTATTTCTACTCTAGATGCCAAATGTAATAAGATCTAAGTGCTTTATATGCTTTACAGCAAAGCATTTGTTTCCCAGTAACTGAGTTTTACATATTTAATAAATAGCATGTAGTGTAAGTAGACGAATAATGTCACTGTCACTGTCCTCCCGTTGTTCATCGATTTGCTCGAGCGGGCCCAGTAACGTCTCCATTGGAGACTCTGTTGTTACTGTGTTTGGCATATCGAATACATCACGGGTAGCTTGCCAGGCTCAGCTGTGCGAGCGAGATACTCTCGGTAGCTTGCCGGGCTCTCCGAGAGGGGCAGAGGAATTGAACTCAGGTCGGCCATGTTGGCTGCGTGCAAGGCAAACGCCCTACCGCTATGCTATCGCTCCAGCCCTAGACGAATAATACAAGTCATTTTTAAAATAGAAACTCTTTTCTTCATTTGTCATTAAATGTTTTTTGATCTTAAAGAAAGAAGAGTGTTTTAATGGAGAATTGTGTCTGTATTAGTCAGTTGCACTCCTACCTCAGACACACTTAGGAGAGAAGATACATTAAAATCAAATTATTCTGATTTGTACCTGTGGTACATTTCACAATTAAGTGTGAAGACATAATATAATTTAGTTGTCAAAAGCTTAATTTTTTAATGGTATTCTGTATCAGTCAGTTTTGTTAGGGAAATACAGATATGAAATCCTTAAATTTTAAGAATGATTACTTTTCTGTCTTAGATACCAACATGTTACAAATGGGATAAATGAGTATGTTTTGTGGATTTCTCAATTTCTTCTCAGAGTAATAGAGAAATCAGCTAATAGAAGGATGGTTAAGATATCTTAAATTACTCTTCTCTGTGGATGTGAAAGACAGATTTGTATGTGTCTATAGTCATGCAAATAAGAAACGCATGGATACTTTTGAAAATGACATCCTATGTTTTGAAATTTACCTAAATTTAAATGTTTTTTAAAAGCATTTAAAACTTAGTTGCTTTAGATTTCATTTTTTTATCTAATAGATTTTTCTTAATAGGCATCAGATAATATTTGCATATTATTTAGTATTTTAGGAAAAATTTTAAAGTTTTTCAGGGATAATTCTTGCATAAATAGGTAAGACTTTATCATCCACATTATGAAACATGTGAAAACAAGCAGTGTTTCTGACTTCCTGTGGCCTGGCCTTGAGGCATTTTATAATTCTCCAGTAGCACTCCACTGTCCTCCCGTTGTTCATCGATTTGCTCGAGCAGGCCCAGTAACTTCTCCATTGTGAGACTTGTTACTGTGTTTGGCATATCGAATATGTCACAGGTAGCTTTCTAGGTTTTGCTGTGTGGGCAAGATACTCTCGGTAGCTTGCCAGGCTCTCCGAGAGGGGCGGAGGAATCGATCCTAGGTCGGCTGTGTGGAAGGCAAACACCATACCCACTGTGCTAGTGCACCTTAAACCCTGTACTATTTTTTGTAGCCCCCTAAAAAAACCTCAAATATAAAAAAATTACTAAGGTAAAATAGCCTTTATCTTTGCAAGCACCTGAGAGAAATTTAGTGAGGAGCTGGTATCTCCATGCTTAGCCAGGCAGTTGAGCGTGCTCACACGGGGACATTATATGAAATCACAGAACACAAGTTAGATAGAATCTTAGTAAGCTCTCCAGATGCATATGTGGGCACGAGGATGGACAGGCACATGCCAGCAGTGCTCGGTCCTGCTCTGTGACCCGTGCCTCAGGGTGGCCCAACATTTCCTGCCAGGGGACAGGCATGGTGCTGGCCCTCTGAGGAAGAACTTCTCATTAGTCAGGGGGCTGGGAGCAAAACCTCTTCCTTTGTTTTTCAGGTAGGTGGGATTTGCATCACCCCTCCCGCTAAAGTCAGCAATTTTAATTATTGCTATTGTTTACTTTATAGGATCAAAGAGAATAAGTGATAGTGAAGTTTCTGACTACGACTGTGATGATGGAATTGGTGTAGTATCAGGTAAGAATTTCTGAGTTAATTTATGTTCATGAAAAAGAAGAGTAATTTATCATAATTTGTAACTTGATAATGTTTGCAAAGATATAAGAAAACTTTAGCTTACGTTTTTTCTAAAAATTTACAAGTTTACTATACATTAACGACATAAGTCATGCTTTTGTCAGAGTACTACAATCAGCTTATTATTCTCAGTAAACTCACAAGTTTACTGTACATCCACAAGATATGTAATGCTTTGTCAGAATTCTACAATCAGCTTACTATTCTCAATAAAGTTACAGGTTTACTGTATATCCACAACATAAGTAATGCTTCTATCAGAATTATGCAATTAGCTTATTATTCTCAATAAATGGAATGATTCTTCATGTTTCTAATCAGTATTTTTTATGTTTCTATAATGGCATTCTTCATGCTCTGTATAGTCACTTTATAAATTTAAGTTTCATTAATAAAGTGGTATTATTTATAAAGTGTGATTACTGAAGTGAAAGAAGACTTATCCTCCAACAAAAAAGTATCTGATTCCATATAATTAAAAGTTTTAGATAATTGGCAGATGATATATTACTCAGTAACAGTGAAATGACATCCTTAGTAATCAGTTCTCCCAGTAGCCTAAATTTCAAAGTAAGTATGATGCATTTTCTATTAGTCTGACTCATCAACCACCCCTTCCCTCCCCCCAAAAATCAAGAGCAATTTGTTTCCTTCTCCCCTTCTCCCCAAACAACTTTATGAGGCCTTACCCTCCTGAATAAGTTCAGTTGCTGAAACATCTGGACCAATCGTTAGATTGGAAATTCTTATTGAAAGATACAAGTCCTGGACGGGGGCCGGCCTGCTTGCAGCTTCCTAGCAGCATCCTCAGCCCTGCTTCGAATTAGCAGATGGTGTCTGGTGCAGGCAGTTTGGAGCCCAGGAAAGATTCCAGGCCACATCCCGAAGATCCAGTTAACAGAGGCCTGAAGAGGACCAGACAGAACCCTGACTTCACCCTCCACTCCCTAATACTGAACCAGGCAGCTGCAGTTGTGACCACGCGAGATTTCTTCTTCTCCAACTTCTCACTAAAACCACCAATATCCCTGTGAAATCCACAGAAGTGCCTCACTGCCTCTAGAGGCTGAATGACTCTCACAGGAATGAATTACAAAATTTTACAGCAGACACAGTGGGGAAGTGGTGCAAAAACACACTAAGCTCAAGTAGATAATAGCCCGGAAAACTCTCCCAGCACCAACTAGCTCTGTAACTTCTCAGATAGACTTTGATGCAGATGTTTAAGGAGCTCAAAGAAACAATAGTACAGGTACAAGAAAATATGAGCATAGAAATGAAGACTCTGTAAACAGAAGTGACAGAACTGAAGAATTTGGTAGGTAAAGTAGAAAACTCAGTTAACAGCCTCAGTGGTAGAGTGGCAACAACAGCTGAGGGAAAAAATGGTGAACTATAGGACGGGGTGCAAGAAACTGCTAGAAAATAACAGAAGAAAAAAGAAAGATTGGGGGAAAAAACATAGTACCACAGTACTAGGAAATAAGTTCAAGAGGAATAATATACGAATCTTTGGAGTCTCTGAGGAACAGGAAAGAGAATTGGAAGAAAAACCTAGAAATAGTACAAGAAATCATAGAAAAGATTTTATCAGAGTTGAGGAGTGCATGTGCCAAAGTCAAAAGGCCCAAATTGCCCCAGCCAAGAGGGATCCAAATAGAGAAGATTTAAGACATACTGTAATTGAAGTGACAAAAGACAGAGACAGAATATTGCAAGGAGCAAGATCAAAGAAGGAATTCACATACAAATGAAATCCCCTAAGATTCAGAGCAGATTTATCAAATGAGACTCTACAGGCCAGAAAATAATGGGGTAGTGAAAGAGCTAAATTAAATCAACACTTTACCAAGAATATTTTATGTAGCTAAGCAAGATTATCATTCGTATTAGAAGGAATGATTAAAAAAAACTTTTATATACAACCAACAGCTCAGAGACTTCACAGTCTTAAAACCAGTTTTGCAAGAAGCATTCAATGAGCTTCTTTAAACAGCAATACTTAAAAGGTAAGACAAACTTCAAAATCACACCTAATGACCAAAATCACAAAACGACAAAGGATATCTGTTAAATGAGTACTTCTAAATTTTCTGCCTTAGATTTATTAAACTTTGAGCATTTCACTGCAAAAAAATAAGTGAGGTATTAATTTTAGAATTATAGCTTCGGAATGAATATTTTTAACCTGAATTAATTAAATTTTTTGGTTTTTGACTGTTGTTATGGAATTGGGAAAGTCCTACTGTTTTGTGTCTAAGGATCTCATACTTGGTTATGGTGTGCGGGAATCACATACGTGAGATTGCACACCTGGTTGGGCATAGAGCTAGCACTTTTGTTTGTGTGCTGGGGTTGCACCCCTGGTTATGGTTCTCACATATGTGACTGTGAAGTGCTTGGGATTGTGGTCTGTGATATGGAGCAGTGCCAGGATGGAACTCGGAGCCGCATGCATGCAAGGTAGGTGTCTATCACTGAGCCACATCCCTAGGTCCTATAATGGAAACATTTTCTACTATTGTGACTGCAAGAAAGTATGAAATCTTCCTTTGCTGTCCCCAGCATATCCAACTATGTCAAATCTTTCAACAAACTTCTTTGGCAGCTTTTTCATTATACTAGCATATGCCACTGCATTTTCAGTTGTGGTACTGCAGTGTAAAATATCTCACTTCAGGGACCAAGGAGATAGTACAGTGGGTGGGGCACTTGTCTTGCACGTGGCCAACCTGGGTTCAATTTCCAGCATCCTGTATGGTCTCTTGAGCACCTCCAGGAGTAATTCCTAAGTACAAAGCAGGGAGTCAGTCCTGAGAAGCAAACCAACTGCTGGAAAACAAACAACCCCAAGTTGTTTTAGAAAGTCACAGTTCAAAAATGATATATCTGAAATGATTTAATACTTTAAGTAATTTTAATTACTTTCAAAATAGAATAATTTATATATTATGTATGTTTATATATAATGTATTTATAATATATAATATATTTATATACCATTATTTCCTTAATATTATAAAAGTACTTGATCTCTTCTTGAAGCTTAATTACCTAAGCAAGCTTCCTACTTATGAGTCATTGCAGTCTAAATATGTTCTAGTTTATGTGAAAAATGTTACAGCTACATCATTGATTGATAGCAAATTTTGACCCTTCTTCTTAGAGTGGGTCAGCTAGGATGCTCTGATGTGCTACTTGGAAAGTTTTGGGTTATTGCAAATCACACTGGGAGGTCCTCCAGAACTGATCCTGAGTCTCTGCTCAGGAGTGGTCCCAAGTGGTGCTTGGGGAACATTTGTGGTGCCAGGGATTTGAATTAGCACCAGCAGAATGCAAGGCAAGCACGTTAGCTCCTGTACCATCTCACCGGCCCTATCACTGTTCTATTTTAAATAACTCAGTGACTGTCTTTTAGCCATTATTTTTTTCAACAAGAGTGAACAGTATGCAATTTATTGTTACTGTCAGCGTATCCTTCACGTGTTATGTTTGTGAATTAAACTTCAACAAAGTGCTTTTGAAAAATATTTCCTATGACCTCTTTAAAATCATTACATTTTGTTTTTCTGTCTGTATTCTTTTCTTCTGTAAATGTACAAACAGTTCTACTTCCCCTTCCTCTGTGTCTAGCCACAGCAGACTCTTAATTTTGCTGGCATTTTTGGACACATCCCAAATCTTTCACTTTCTGTTTCTAGGATGACAAAGATATTGTTTAACATGATCATTGAATTATATTTCTGCTCTGACACTGGGATTGTGTCAGAATAGAAACATTCTTGGAGAAAAAACTTTACAGGATCTTTGATTGTGTTAATGCTCTGGAATATTTTTCTTTGTTTTTACAAAGTAATAATGTGAAATGTGAAATAAAAGGACAAATTAAATTGTTAACTCTGTATTAATTATTTTCCAATACCATGAAAATACTCTTCTTGATATTATTTTTAAATGTCCTGAAATTAGTTTTACATACTCTGAAATTTTTCTCAACTTTTTTTATCTATGCAAAAATGTGTAAGTGAATCATTTGATAGTTAATTGAGGAAAATAGACTATTAGCATGTTCTATTTTTTCTAATTAAATGTGTTTTTGTGATAATTTCTCCACTATATTCTATGGTTATGTATTAAGTGCATCTTAAATCAGTAATAGAAATCACTATTAAGTCACCTTTAGAAATTTGAAATCATCACCACATTATCTTTATAACTATAAAAGTTAGGAAAGTGTTTCCTTATTTTAGAAAATGAATTATTTAAAAATTAAATTTCTAAAGCGTTATTTTTCTTAGGTCCATAATTTTAGTAAAAGATGCTCTATTACATGCTATAATGGCTATTAGAGATATGCATTTTAACTTTTTAAGAAATATTTTTTATTATGTCTTCCTATTTTAGAGTACAAATATAAAAATTAACTTCAATATAGAAAAAAGTCTTCAATTTGATGATGTGATTGAAATGATTCTATATTTACTCTAAAAAATTAAAAAATTTCAAATGAGTTTATCTGTCCATATGTGTTCATATCCTTAGACACAGTGACTACTTTTGTTAACTAGTATTTAAAATTCATAGTTAAACATTTGGGGGACCATGGCCCTCTGAATACTAGGCATCTATGTGTTCAGGAAACATTTAGAGACCTTCGAGGTCCCATTGTTAAGCATCTTAGAACAATAAATTTCATACTGAAACTAGAGTGGTAGAAGGACAAATTCGGTTTCTTTCTGCTTGGTGTGCTCCCATTCCATATATTGACTGTACTTTGAATGATCTAGTTAAAGAACCAGCACCCCGAAAGAGAAAGCAATGAAATAGCTGCTGTTGGACATCTTTGAAGTTTAAATGGCTTGGAAATTGATACATAGATCTAAGGACAAAAGTCACTAAGATATGGCTTTTCCTCACCCTGCATATCTCCTGGGCAGCCT